ACACACACACACACACACACAATCACACACACACAATATTATGGAAGAAAGAATACTAAAACAGCTCCTTCCCAGTCACAAATAAAAAGAGCAGTTAAACCAGCATTTTCATCCATGCATCTTTATTAGTATGGCTGACCCTAAGTGCCAAATGTACTGTATTTGTCCCACAATCTGCTTATTGACCACCCCTGCACTATGTGATTTGTCACCACACACAACACAGAAGGCCTGACAGTCATTCTGAGGGAAATGAGTGCTTTCTAACAAACAAGACTGTTAATAATGAATTGTGATGGTTGCAGCAGGTACAAGAACAATACCACTGAAAGAGCAGCCACCTGCAACGTGGCTCCAGCTCTGGCCCCGGCTGGGCCTAGTGAAGGGCTAAAGCTAGGGCCAGGCCTGTATGATGGTTGCCTTGCTGCTCCTGCCTGCCACGTGGCCCTATTCCAGAGCCGCTGAGTAGCCACGAGGAGTACAGATAGTTCGGAATGGCTACGTAGTTCGAACTATCTAGCCCGTGCCGCGTGTAGCCGCGCGGCACGGGGTTCGCACTAGCCGGCTTTTAAAAATGGCGGCGCCGGCTTTATGCTAATGAAGCCCGGGAAATTCAAATCCCGGGCTTCATTAGCAACTTCGGTATGCATACATTACCCCGCTAGTTCGAACTAGTGGGGTACTGTAGACATACCCTTTGAGAGGAAGAATAATAATCTAAGTTGGAATTTGTTTGAGACATTTGAATTGGAAACTTTGATAACTATAAGTGAGCATGATCTAATTTTTATGTGATACCTAAATGCAGGGGTGACTGGTGGGAAGGCACAAGGGCCACTGGTCATGTGACCACACACCCCACCCAGGGAAGGGCTATGATAACCCCCTCTGCCCCAGGCTCTGCCTCTCCCCAACCCTGTCCCACTCCCTCCCCACGTTTTCTCTGCCCTTGAACCACACCACCCTGCCTCTTCCTCTCACCTGAGCAACGTGGGCCAGGGGGACTAGGCGGCAAAAGGATGGCACCAGCAGTAGGGTCCAGCCCCCTGCATTCACTGGCAGCAGCAGAGGAAGTGGAATAAGGTGGCCCCAGCTCACTCTGCTTCCCTACCATGTCTCTCTGCTTCCCGCCAATGAGAGTGGGCCCCAAGAGATATGCCAGGAAAGCTGAGTGAGCTGGGATTGTGTTGCTCTGCTTTCCCCACTGCTTCTGGTGAGTGTCGGGGAGGGGGGCAGACAGACCCATGGTATGGGTGCCAGGCCCTTCTATTAGTCCTCTCAGCTCACATTGTCTTGGCCTAACAGATAACATGTTCCAGCAGCACAGAGCTCTCTAACATCCCCACTAATTCAGAAAGGTCTGAGAAGGAAAAGTGCCATATCCTGCAGTACTTGGTGTTCTTTGGCAGTTTCCTGATCCAACTCAACCCTGCTTAAATTACGAGAGAGGAGCAGTTCACAGCATATGGTGCTATTCCTGGGGAGCACTTACACTAAGCCTTTATGTATACTTTAAAGCCCCTTTGTACTGCCAGACCAGTATAAAGAAGCCTTAGTATAAATGAAAATCGGACACCAACTCCTGTAGACAAACTCTAGCAATTGCAATCAAGCCTCCAATCTAAACCTGTGACATTTTATTCACAGAGAAGGAAGAGTACTTGAAGGTACGAGCTCTAAACTGCTCCAGAATTACTGTACCTTTAAATCAAATACGTTTTCCCAGAAATGTTTATAAAATGCATAGTGCTCGGTGCTCACTTTCTAGCACTCAGCAGTCTTCACATCACTCAGGGAGCTTTGGAAATGGACAAAGAACTCCAAGTGCTCAATATGACAAGGAAAGGTACAGTAATCAGTTGAAATAATAAGTTGCCTATTGATTCTGCAGTATGAGTTACATATGGTAAAAGACTCATCTGCTGAAACTCAGCAATTCTTGTGAACAAGAAGTTCCAGTGCAATCTTTCACTTTGAAGAAGCTACATAAAAAAATGTGAAATGGCAGACTTGTCCCAGAAAAGGGCTTAGCAGCCAAAAAGCTTGAATCCCATAAAGTACAATTTGTTAAAATATATATGTAAGGCATTATGAAACTCTAGATTTTTTATTCATAAGTCGAGTACATAATGTATGTCTACCAGGAGAGAGAGAGAGAGAGAGAGAGAATGACTTTCACAACTGCTCAGCATGTGGGCAGGGTGTAAAGGAGAGAGAGCCTGCAATTGTAATGTGGGATGTGAGAAAACATTGTTTCTTCATGATATAAAATACAGGATGCGTACACAACTTCTGTAGAGAAAACGGCATGCTACCCTTATCAACAGCCATCCCAAGGACAAACACATCACCCCAGGCCCAGGCTTTCAGAAACTGACAGCAAGAGGAAACAGCATGTTCAATCAAATTCAGTGACTGTCATCCTACATCGGACAATATTTCAGCCAGGAACTGATGTATCCTTTGTTGGCAAACCTGTTAGGGTTTTCTTTGTTCAGTTCAATAGCTCAGATTGGTACTGTGTTTCTGCAAGAAAATCAAAAGAACAGAGGGGTTTTTCCAGCATTGGTAATCCTTATTCTATGGGAAAGAAGCCTTTTTGCAAAAGAGCTCTTTTGCAAAAAGGCATGTGTGGATGGGGAAGAGGGAGCATTTTCGGAAGAAGAAGAAGAAAAAGGAAAAAGCACAGGTACCCTGGTGGCCATTCCATCCATTGCAATCACAGCTTACATGCAAGAGAACGTCCATTCAGCCTGGATGCTCTCTTTCGAAAAAGCAGATCGCTTTTTCGATGTGCTTTTGTGTGTGATGTTACCAGATTTGCCCAATACTCTGGGGTATGCTCATTTATCAGGGTTACTCTTATGGGACTGGGGAAAGGTTAACCATTCTATCAGTGTGCTGCTTGTGCTCTCATATGGAGCTGAATTCTCCCTGCTGCCAATTCCCTCTCCCACTGGAGCTCTCCTGCAGGAACTAGGTTCCTCAGGATGGGGTTCTTCCCACCTTATCAACACACACAGACACTCACACCCACTAACAAAGCATGTCTGAGAGGACTGGGGAACCAGCACTCACAAGCTGACCCCCTCATATGTCCCTGGACTCAGCTGGCTGGGTTTCACAGAAATGCCACAATGCACCCTCATGTGCCTTTGGACTCCGTGGGCTAGATTAAACAGCACTTTAAGCTGCCATCCTCATAAGCCCCCGGGTTCAGCACTTCCCTATCCCCACTTTCACAGCACAATCATTCACTGGGAAACTACACGATGAGCAAACCCCACAGGATTTGGGGCACTACAGGGATCTTTAGCTTGGGTACAAGAAGCATTGTTGCAGAGCGAATGGGGAAGCCAAAGCAACACCCCTTAAGGAAGAATAAGCGAAAGAGAAAGAGAGAGAAGCAACCAGCGTAACAATGAAAGTGATTTATTTCTGAGTAGTGAATTGATATCAAAAGTTACAATATTAAATATAAACTGAGACTGATTACAAATGTTAGGTAACCATATAACAGTTTACATAGGGCAGGGTCAGGAGGCTATGCTTAGAGAGATAGTTAATGGGAGGGAGAGAGAGAGAGAGAGACCTCACCACTCCACGGAGCTTGCACTGATCGGGGTTCCCAGATGATGATGGTATCCGGGCGCCCAGAGGGCAGGAGACAAGCAGAACAGAACCCCCAGCACGATCAGACAGGAGATGAAGCCGTCTCAAACAAGAGTGGTCAGAGTGAATGGTGCAGCTGGATGAATGAGCAAGTTGCCATCTTCATCCATCCATTCCTTCCCACCCTCGAGGTGAACTCACATGAAAGCAGCTCTGAACTCTGAATCTTCACTGGGTGAGTGAGGTGCAGTGAAAGGAAAAGCGAGGGACACATTAAAGGAACATTTGGTTTTTGGACTCTTTTAGTGACTTTGCTTTAGAAAGTCAGATTTGTAGCTGGGAAAAAGAGAGTTATTCACCCTGTGCAGTAACGGGGGGGCCTTCAAGATGTGTCCCCCCGTGGGTGCTACACTTTGGGTGCTGGTGCGTCCTTGTGCCGGCGACCCAGAGATTTTTCCAGCAGTGCTGTGCCACGCATGCGCCATGGCATCTCCTCACGCCGTTGGTGACAGTTAGGCATGTGCAAGGCTTGGCCCCTCTGTTCCTCCTCTACCCCAGCTCTAGCCCCAGAAGACGCTCCAAAGCAGGGGAAGGAGGAAGGGTAGTGTAGCATCTCAAAAAAACCCTGATACTGCTCAGGGTGAGTAACTCTTATTTCTTCTTTGAGTGATGAAATACCACTCTGGGGGTATGTCTAGCCTACATGCTTCTGCCGAGAGAGGCATGTAAAATAGGCTACCCAACATAGTCAATGAAGTGGGGATTTAAATATCCCCCGCTTCATTAAAATAAAAATGGCCGCCACGCTGTGCTGGCTCAGCTGATCATCGGCACAGCATGCGAGTCAAGACGCAAATCCACGAGGCATAAGGGAGCGGTTGACAAAGGCTTCCTTTGTTGACCGATACGTGTCTTGACTCGCACGCTGTGCCGACGATCAGCTGAGCCGGCACAGCGTGGTGGCCATTTTTATTTTAATGAAGCCGGGGATATTTAAATCCCCGCTTCATTGACTATATCGGGTAGCCTATTTTACATACCTCTGTCGGCAGAGGCATGTAGTCTAGACATACCCTGGGTGACTACAGACCAGTGCTCATTTTGTGGAGATGGGTTTGGAGCCCTGCCATAAATGGAGCAATCGTGGAGGCAAGGGCTTAATGTTTGGTAAATGTATGGTCGGATGCCCAAGTGGGTGCCTTGCAAATGTCATCTAAAGGCACATTTTTGAGGAAGGCTGTTGTGGAGGCAACCACTCTAGTAGAATGAACAGTGATGGTATCTGGTGGTTGTATCTTGTGAATAGTGTAGCATTTGTGGATGCAAGATGAAATCCATTTGGATATTCTCTACAAGGAGATGGCTTGACCCTTGGATTGCTCTGCAAATGATAATAAGAGTCTTGTTGATTTTCTCCATGGTTTTGTTTGATCTAGGTAGAAGGCGAGTGCCCTCTGAACATCCAAGGTATATAGTGCCACCTGAGATGGATAGGTGTGCAGTTTGGGACAGAAGGCAGGTAAGTGGATAGTTTCATTAATGTAGAAAGGAGATGGGACCTTCGGTAGGAATTTGGGGTGAGGTCAAAGGGTTACTCTGTCTTTGGTAAATATCGTGTATGGCGAGTCTGCCATTAGTGCCGCTAACTCCCCAACTCTCCTGCTGGAAATTATGGCTACCAAAAAGGCGTCTTTCGTGGAGAGGTGTAACCAAGAACAGGTGGCTAGAGGCTCAAAGAGAGGTTTAGTTAAGCTCTTGAGGATGTGATTCAGATCCCAAATAGGAGTTGGGAGTCGTACCAATGGGAAAGTATTCTGGAGACCAGTAAGGAAGAGTTGAGTGACCAGGTTCAAAAAAACTGAAGTGCTGTCACTGGTTCTGTGGAAGGCTGTTGTCGTCGCTGAATGAACCTTTACCATATTGAAAGAGAGCCCTGATTCTTGTAATTCCAATAAGTAATCTAGTATGATGGGGATGGGTGTGGTGTCGGGTGGCATGAGGTGGTTCGGTTTGACCCATTCAGAGAATCTCGTCCACTTGTACAAGTAGGTTTTTCTAGTGGACTCTCTCCTACTGTTGATCAGTATTTGTTTTACTCTGTCTAAGCAGCTGTTTTCAGCATTCTGGCGCCACAAAGGAGCCACGCCTGGAGGTGAAATCTCTCTGGATCAGGATGGAGAACTCTGACATGATTTTGAGTGAGGATATTGTTGTGGGGGAAAGGTGTGAGGATCCACTATCTTTAATCTGTACAGGTAAGGAAACCAGGTTTGTCTTGACCAGGCTGGTGAAGGAGAATCACGTGGGCTCGGTCTTGTCTGATTTTTGTGATTATTCTGTGAATTAAGGGAAGCGGTGGGAACACGTAGAGGAGGTATGGTCCCATTTCAGGGAAAAATCATCTCCTAGAGATCCCTTTTCCTGGGCTGTTCTCGAGCAGAATAAGTGGCACTTTCGGTTGGCTCTGGTTGCAAACAGTCTATGTCTGGTTGCCACCATTTGTGAAATACTTCTTGGAGGGCTCGAGAATCTATCTCCCACTTGTGGTGATTGGAGAAGATACAGCTGAGGTTGTCCACCATCATATTTAGTACTCCTGGGAGGTACATGGCAACAGGGGAGACATGGTGTGTGACGCACCAAATCTATAGTTTCAATGCTTCTATACAGAGGGAGATGGACTGGACTCCACCCTGCCCATTGTTGTAGTACATGCACATGGTATTGTCTGTTGTGACATTGATTGTCTTGTGTGCTGTGTATTGTAGGAAGTGACGGCATGCATAATGAACTGCCCTGAGTTCGAGCAAGTTGCATGAGGGATGCATCTGTCGTTTTGGTAACCATGGGGGATGGCTGTTGGAAAGATATCTTCCGTAATATAATATATTGTAATGTATTATATAATAATATAATATAATGTAATATATTGTAATGGATTGTATAATTTAATGTAATATTTTATACACCCTCTG